GCAATTGAGCCTTTCTCAAATTTTGTTAGAGACACCGAAGTTTATCAAAAATTACAACAATCAGACAAAGCAACAATTTTGAAAACCCACCGGATTTGCCGAAAAGAATACATGAATTCGCTGCAATCGTTTCAAGATAAACCACAAACTAATTATAAAAATTTAGAATTCCATAAACAAGGTTTTGAAGAAGTTTGTAAGTTTATCGATGAAAATGTAATTGTCAACAACAAATGTTATTTTTTCACTTTTTTATGTGACTATTACGTTAGTGCGATTAAAAATGCAACAAGTAAAGATGGCCATACGTACGACAGTTTATTATCCAAAGCCAACTTTAAAACCAAATTAAAAAAACAATACGACGGACAGCTGAAAATTTGTATTCTACACAATAAAAAAATTATTGGTCCAATTAACAGTGAGATTGATGACCATTTATTTTCTCTCTTAGAAGACAAATCCATTCTTCACAATGCTGCTCTTATTTTGAGACAAAAAATGTTAGATATAGAAAAATAAGCGCTACCAGAAGAGATAAAAACGACTGATTTGTTAAAAGGAGAATGCTACATTCCTGAAACTTTAAAAGATTTTTATCTTACAGTATTAGGTGGTTCTCATAGCAGACGAAGAAAAAGCAATGAAAGTTATAGAATAAGCAACTCATTAGCTTCAGATTTGATTTACAATGTGTCGAAAGGTAAAATAAAAACGAGCAAACATATAACCCTAGGGATGACTTTGAAAAGCCTAACGAGCAGCCGAAAAATTGTTGAAATTATTAATAGGTATGGCCACTGTTGCAGTTACCATGTAGTTGAAGAATTAGAAACAGAAGCTACGTTTACATCTTCTGGTCGATCTGAATTATGTCCTGATGGTATTACCAAGACAAGTGGATTAAATACAGGTGTAGCTTTCGACAATTTTTACCGCTTCGTTGATACTGCATCAGGTAAAAATACTTTACATGACACAGTTGGGATAATTTACCAAGATGTCGTTGAAAATTCTACAACTATAAAAGCACGCTGGACAGTAATCAAGAAGTGATGGTTGATGTTGACCTAAAAGATGATGTTGCTGCTGACCTTGAAGATGCTGTTGACGTTGAACATGATGTTACCGTTGACCTTGAAGCTGATGTTGCTGCCGAAACACATGCAATCTAAAGAAAAAAAAATTCCTAAAAAGAGACGGACATTTGAAACTTCTCAACCTGAATTACAACCTTTCAACAAAAGAGCTAAAATCTCAGATCTTTTGTTGCCGAGTACTGATAATTGGCATTCAATAGTACCACAAACATTAGAACAAATAAATAAAATTGATGTACTGTGGATGCCATCACATGCGCTTGAAATTCCGAATATGCCAATGTGGGTCGGATTTAATAGCAAGTTTGTCGAAGACAAAAATAAGAAAAAACAAATGGATATACTTTGACTATATTGTGGTCTTGGACGTCAAATATATATATATATGATTTGTACTTTCTCAGAGTCATGTGGGAAAAACTGCATTTTCAGTGTGATTATGTTATGATCTGACGTCAGATTCGTATTCAGCGACCCCAAAAACCCTTGAGTAACAAATTTTAGGTGAATCTGGTCAATTTTCAAAAACTCATTGGGTATACTGGATCTACCATTTTGAATTTTGGAAAACTGACATCAGATTCGTACTCAGCGACACACACCACAAAAACCCCCGAGTACCAAGTTTCAAGCAAATCGGATCACTTTGAAGAAACATCCGCCATATTGGGTCCGCCATATTGGATCTACCATTTTTTTGTTAAAAAATCTAGTCAATTGTTATGTAATTCAAGCTTTTGAATCCGAATCCACGGTCAGAATTTCAAAACTAGCTTGCGCTTTTTCATTACGGCTCAAACATGTACTAAAAAAGTATGTTTTTTGAGATTAGAAAAAAAACAAACCAACTTTTGAATTCTGACCTCGGATTCGGATTCAGCGACCCAAAATACGTAAGAATTGACTAGTCCGGTCCGCCGGACAGAAATTTCATTTTTTTTGTGAGGCTGTAGTATTAATATCTTCTTAAAATGACATTTATTACGTGAACCTAGCTTCGTATATAATGATCATATATGTACACTTATCGAAACTTGCACTTTTATTTTTTATGAATAGAGTATCATTAAAGGTAGGTTGGTGTTGAATTTGGCAATGATTGATGAAGGGATTACCGATTTTTACCTAAAAAGTGTACAAATGTTGTTTTTGGACAATTTAGTATTAATTATATTATTGGCAACTTTTTCTAATTCTATTATATTCTTCAGTCTTTTCTACCCCTATTTCATATATAATTCTTTAAAATTTGGTTGATTAGGCCAAACTTTATAAGGGTTCTATGTATGTACGGATTCTCTGAAACTTCAAACGTCTGTAACTCCAGAACTAATTAACCAAATCTTAAAAAATTATATATAAAATAGAGGTATAAAAAACTGAGGAATATAATAGAATTAGAAATGGATCGCTATCTCAAATATTGAGAAAGCTATAGCATATGTGATGTTTAATATACAACATCTTTACACAAAATATTCTATATCAAGAAACACGGTAGTGTCTCGTGCCAAGTACACGCGGAGCGAGACCGACCGTGAAGGGGGCCACAGACAGGACGCGTCAAGCGTCAAGCAGCAAGCAGCAACCCAATCAGTGAGGTGATATCAACAGTGGCGTATAGAAAATATCGTCTCGCTGATTGGTTACTACTCGCTGCTTGACGCTTGACGCGTCCTGTCTATGGCCCCCTCTTTTACGCGACGCGATACGGGTTGCGAGTACCCGAGATGTTGAGATCTCGATAACGAGTGAACGGATCAAGTTCTAAGTAGGCTTGATCGATAGCTTGGGGTCCAATTAGGGGAGGGGGTTTTTCTCATAATATTCCGCTACGTGCTCTACGAGCGGAGATATTGCGACGCAAAGTCAAAATGTGAAAAATTTTATTTTAAGATACTTCTTCTAACGCCGACGTCTCAATATTATTATGATTATTAGAGAAATGTCACTTTTACTTTTTCGACACTGGCAGCGCAGGTATCGCCAGTTTCGATATCGCGCGCGTATTTCGAAATTAGGTCGATAGACTTATCGGTCAAGAGGAAGATTTCTATTTAGGTAAATTAGGTATATATATAATATATATTGAGTCAATTGCTTCATGTTTATCTGGAGAGATTTCGTATCCTTATTTATTACATCGTATTACCACCGCTGCCGGAAAAGAAGGTTCTCTACGCTTGGCAGAATGATGACGAGGTCCAGATAGTGCGCTTCATGGTTTTCGGTGTCCAGGTGTAATCGTACGTTGAATTCGATGTCTAGGTGTCCCAGGTTGCCGATAACGAGGTTTATACAGTGCGCTTCGTAGTTTTTGGTGTCTAGGTGTATTAATAACTTTAAATTTGAATGTAGGACACGTAGATACCGAATTCGAGGTATTAATACACGTAGACACCGAAAACTACGGAGCGCACTATGTGGACCTCGTCATCGGCAACGTGGGACACCTAGACATTGAATTCAACGTATTATTACACCTAGACACCGAAAACTATGGAGCGCACTATCTGGAACCCGTTATCGGCAATCTGGGACACCTAGACATTGAATTCAAGCTTGATTCATAAGAATCGATTTAAAAATTCCCTAGCGGCAGAATTAAAATTATGTCATGACATAATAAAAATTTGCTGAATTAAAATTATATCTAGACATAATAAAAATTGGACGAATAATAGTAATCTTTCGAAAGTAAAGATTTTAAGCTTAAAATTTAAATTTTATTTATTTTTAACAAAGTTACAGCTGCTCGAATTTTGCCTATTTTTAAAGATAAATTTAGTGTTTCTTCAATTTTTGTGAGAAATGTATAATTTACTTTTACTTAAATATTATTAATTTTTATGTATTTGTTGTTATTGCTAATTTTGTGAATAATTAAAAAATAAAAAATAAAAATGTTTTGCAGATCCCCTTGCTTAACACTACAAAATGGATGATATCAGTACAAAATTACCTTTTTCAAAAAAGGTAAAAAAAAAGTGCCAAGTACACGCAATGTATTTTGAAAATTCAAAAATCTAACCTAAGTGGTAGTTTTATATCTTTTTCACAAAATTATATTACCTAACTTAACTCAAGTGACATGTATTTAAAAAAAAAGATGTGAAATCTTTAATTTTTTCTTCATAAAATTTTTATTACCTAACTTAACTCAAGTGACATGTATTTCAAAAAAAGATGTGAAATCTTTAAATTAAATTGCGCCAGTTGTAAAGAGAATATGTATATTGCTTTGAAAGATAATTGTTATGCAACTACTTTAAAGAAAGTAGGAAGTGCACATAAAAAACGTGCCCATCTAGGTGGCTCAGTCCTCGCGTCCGGGCTGTGGTAGATAAGGATCAGGGTGGTGACGATGTTGATGATCAGGCCGACGACGGTGATGAGATTGGGCGCGAGCCAGAGCGGCACCTTGCTAACCAGCCAGTCCAACCATGGCTGCAGGAGGCCGTCGAGGAGGCTGCTGCTCGTGCAGCTGTACTTGTGCTCGCTCAGCCGCTTCAGCTGGCCCGGCGACAGCAGCCTGTCCTTGTAGAACTGCATGCTTCTGCTGCGGGCCGCGCGCAGAGTCGCCTCGACGACGCCGTGTCACCGAACCGTGGTGGGCGCCGAGAGCAACAGCAGGGAAACGAGGGTGAAAACGGGGAGAGCGTGGGACCCGCGGGATCCGGTTGCCGAGGAGGTTTCAGCTGCGACGGGGAGGACGTCGGAGACGCGACGACGACGACGCGGCGCACTATCACCGTGATCACCCGCGGTGGGACGGTCAAACATAACAAGCGA